GACACGGGCAAAATAACGAGCAATAAAAATGCACGGAAAGTAACTCTCTTCACGCTTTGTAAAGATTTGGAAACGCGGGGCAGACTTTTATTGTCTCTGGAAGGAGGAACTGTTCCTTCGTGAGAACGCCATTCCTAAGCTCGTTGAAACAAATGTAGCCGAATGCCGGCCTATTTGCATACTCATTGTGCTGTAAGTACTTCACCCTAACGGCGATGGTTGGTAGATCTCACAGCAAAATGGGATACACTGGTGTGAGGTCTCGAAAGCTCGGTGAAAATCGTTAATACCGGCCAAGAATGTAGTGTCCAAAATTATATGAAATTTCGCATTATACATATGCATATATTTATGATACACACACACACACGCGCGCGCGCGCACATATGCATATATGTTTTTCTAAAAATTATATTCAGTTATTTCGAAAATCATTTTTATTATTTTATTAATTTACTATAAGTCTTTTTCCCATTCCGAGAGTTTAGATAGATGTGACTTAATATAAAAAATAAATATTTTATTTATAAAATAATAAAATTTACAGCTCGTTGGTTTAAAATCAATATGAATACAGGCAATATCAATGCGAGTCAAAATACCGATGTTGTGGAGCGCGCAATTCTTTTATTAAAACAATTAATGTCCCGGAATATTTCGATCATTGCGGTCATCTTTACTTGTACAGTTTCTCTTTTTAATAAATAATGAGTAGATAATTAAATTAGGATTGTATTATTAGATCATATTGATTGATGTTTTTGATTTCCTTGTTTCTTAAGTTTTTTTATCGATGCTTTTTAACGATTTGCTTTTATCCTTTTAATTTGTAAAGTATTTATGAAGAGCCATGACCTACCCAAATTTTTCCAGAGTTTTAAATCCAATGTTTAAATATTATTAGCTATAAAGTTAGCATATTTTGATTACTATTGAAAATAATTATAATATTATTAATAATAGAGTTCTCTTTTCATAGTTTTGATAATACGCATCGATTTCATTCTGAAATGTTTTGAAAAGTTAAATATTATTATAAACAGAATTTTTTTTTCTGTCACGATTATTTTTGTATTGTTATATAAGATTGGTTCGTATGTTATGCCTTATTTCTATAGCGAGTCTTCGAGAATGTAATACGCTTTTCTCTTTTTAATTTTGAAACGTTTAAATTTGGATCTCGCGCGATCTCTACAGTTGTGAAAATAATATATTATAAATGTTGGTGATAAGCTAAATCGGGAATCGACATTTTGTCTCGCATTGATCTTACCTATATGCAAATCATTTTATTTATAAGTTCACGTTGTTCGAAATTTCCAAAAAATGTTGCACTTAAAATGAGGTAAATATATATTCCAGAATACATATATTCATTTTCTACACGGAGAAAAATGGTTGGTTGAATTAACTGGAATTCTGGTGGAAAATGAACGATGCAAAATTCTTGTTAAATCTACCAGATTTCTGGTTAAATCTATTAAAATTTTAGTTGAGGTAATTAACATTCAGAAATTTCTTGGTAAAATCTATTAAAATTCTAGTAGATTTAATCAGAATTTTCTAGATCGTTTATTTTTCAGAATTCTACTTAAATATTTCAATTAAATATTTTTCTTCTAGAAAAGAAAGGAAGCGAAGATTTTGAGTGCACAAACAATGCAAGCAACGCTAACAAACCTTACAAGTATTTGTGTGTGTGTGTGTGTGTGTGTGTGTGTGTGTGTGTGTGTGTGTATGTGTACAAAGCCAAATCGAAAGATAGTAACACATTTCTACGGCTATATCTCCGATTGTAAGTACATTAATAAATAATTTCCGTCATTTCGCGGTCGATCTTATCAGAGAAACACTGAGGAATTCCCCGTTAAATTTTTCTAATTTCTTGCAACATTGCGGATTAGGGTCTAACCGCAAAACCACGAACAATTTTAAGGACAATGCATGCGGAAGATACTGCATCATCGAGAACGTTTTGCAATCACTTGCGGTGAGATATATGTCCGAGTGCTATTGCACTGATACAATTAAACCGCGAAACGCATAAACTGATTAGAAATACGTTTATTATTAGCATTAAAAATAGAATATAACATAAATTGTTTCTTGTAACTATTATATTATATAT